GTATACGTGGGATCTCTAAGACTGCTTTTGGTATCCATTCTGATTAATTGTTGTGGTTCCTCCATTTTACTAGTTGTGTAATATTGTGAAGGTTACACACCTCTGAGGGCATTGGCTTCCTTATCAGTTGTTAGGGATAATACTAGTATCTACCTCCAGAGTGGTTGCGGGTTAAATGAAATAATTCTTGTAAATAACTTCTGTTTTATAACAAACAGCTGCCTCTTGCTCCATGGTGATTCTGCCTTTCCATTTGTCCTGCCACAGCCAGTTCTGGGACCCTTTGCATTTGTTGCAGAGGTTGTTGCAGTGTCCTCTCTGCTTCTAGCCCTTAGCTTCTCTAGTTGATCTCCTAGACTTGGAGTTAGGATGATTAAACTCTGTCACTTCCAAGCTGTATGACCTGGGCCAAATCACACAAGGTGTCTTTGAGTCCTCCTTTCCTCCTATGAAAAATAAGGATAATCGCACCTGCCCTACCTATCCTTACTATGAAACGTCAATGAGATTACGTGTGTGGGAGCATTTCTGGAAACCACAAAGATCTGAACAAATATGAACTGTGGTCTTTATTTGGTTATCTCTCTTGTAGAAGCTCTGGTCATAGACCCCCTTTGCTGTGTAGGTCAGACCCTTAACTTCTGTTTCTATATCCTTTACTGGTTATTCCAGATTTTCTCACTTCTCTTATCTTTTCCATCTTTCTGCCCTCTTGTCCATCTCAAGATGTGATCTTAGGTGTTTGTGTGGCAAACAGAAGGTCACTTTCTTTCAGAGGGAATAATTTAGTCTGTGTGATCCAAATAGGCTCACTAAAATATTTTTTACTTTTTTTTTTAAACTTTTGCTTTTGTTTAAAAAAATATATCACAATTCAATCTGATTAAATGTCAGTTAGTGGAGAGATTAAAAAAATATTAATAATCTCCCCAACTAACTAGTCAGTTTTAAAGTTAATATGTAGTCTTCTACGTTTTTTTCCCTGTTCTTTACAAATATATTCAAACAATGTGCACNGGTCGAGCTGTTGTTCACCATCTTAGCTGTAGAGGGCACAGCATCACTGGCCCATGTGGGATCCGAACCAGTGGCTCTGCTGCTCAGAGCTTGCATTCCCAAGCCAACTCTTAACTAATGAGCCACTCGGCCGGCCCCAAATTTTCTTTCTTAAAATTAAAACTCCTAGAAGGAAATATCACTTTTTATTTACCAGGCTTTTATTCCTATTAATACTCATTAGACGTGTTTTGATGTTAACCCGTATTACTGAAGACTCTGTAACAAACTTTGCCCCCACCTTCTCTTCTTCTTTACTGCCAGACTTGCTGCACAAAGAGCCAGGTATATAAAAGATAAGATGGAAGAAATACAGTGTTACAAGAACGCTTTGGATGCACAGGTATGGGAACAATGATTAGATTTAAAATTGTGCCATATTTCAATAGCATACTGTGATGTTATGAATACCCTTATATGTTATCCATCTGGTGTTTTTTGAGGTACCTGTTCCTTCCTTTCTCTAAGGCATTGGTGTTTTACTGTGCTACAGCCTTGTGCATAAAGTTTATTCCCAGATATAATTGTAATCTGCATCATGTGTGTCCCTGATTTAGATAAAGAACAAACACTCCCAGCTGCCCATGTCTGAGCCAAACTCTTTTGAGCCTGTGTTTGATAAGAATTGGGCTGAGCTGGTGGAGGCAAAGCGAAAGCGAGAACTGAGCTACATGAATCACCAGCTGGAGGCAGCTGCTAGCCACAAGAGGAAGGCCATCCTGCACCAGCTGCTGGACCAGAAGCGGGACTTGCTGATGCTTCAGAGGACACAAGAAGAGTGAGAGACTCAGTAATTCCTTTTCCCTCCTCCTCCTCCTTTCCTCCTCCTGCTTTCTTCTTCCTCTCCCCTTATTTCCCCTTTTCTCTCTCTCTCTCTCCCTCCCTCTCTCCCTCCCTCCCTCTCTCAACAGCAGAGAAGCAATAATAGTAGTGAACACATTGAAGAGTTACTATGTGCAAAGTATTGTTCTAAGCTTATTATCTGCTTCATCTCGTTTCATTCACCCTATGAAGAAAAGTTATTAAGTTAAAAAAACAGCCAAGCTCTCTTGAACCCACTTCTCCCTCCAGTTACTCTTCATATTCATCTTGCCCTTTACAGTACAATTTCTTAAAAAGAGTTGTCCATACTAGCACTATACATTGGAAATACAACGTGAGCCACAAATGTGCTATTGTGCTCAAGTAGACACAGTCATGAAACTGAGGCCCTTTCTTAACTTTCACTAAAGCCCCTTCCTTCAAAGGGGCATGTACTGATGATTGCTGGAGGCAGGGTGGTGAACGTAGGCGGAGGAGGACTTTATGCCATATCAATGCAAATACCTTTAAATTCCAACACCAGGCACCTAGTTTCTATTTAAAAAAATTATTTATGTTTTAAGTTACAGTTGACATTGAATATTATTTTATATTAGTTTCATGTGTATAACATAATAGTTAGACATTTATATAATTTATGCAATGACCCCCCTGATTAGTCCACTACACCCCTGGCACTATACATAGTTATTACAATATTATTGACTATATTCCCTATACTGTACTTTATATCCCAATGACTTTTGTAACTACCAATTTCTATTTCTTTTCTTTTCTTTTTTTTTTTTTTAACTTTATTGGGGAA